CCCCCCCCCCTACCCCCCCCCCCCCCCACACACACACACACTTGGGCTCTGAGCCTCATCCTGCTCGCCTCTAGTAACTTTCCAGCCCTACATGAGCAGAGGACAGCTAGGATGTATTGGAGAGGAGACAGGAGAAGGTCCAATGACAACATTTAGTGTCCACCCACCACACACACACAGTCATGCTTAGAAATGTAATCTGGGCACCAGCATGTGCCCTGGTGGAGAGTCTAGAAATCTTACACAATGAAAAGCCCCCAACAGCCCCTAAGCTGTAAGCAGCCAAGCCCTCTATTGGCTGTCAGCCCTGGTCCCTGCCAGGGCAAGTGGCCTGCTGGGCCGCCTGCGGCCAGCCCATGCCCCAAATGGGAAGCATTTGTGTAGAACCTGCTCCCATAGGCTCCAGCTCCTACAAGGACTGGTGGCCAGGCCAGGCTCAGGGAGCACCCTCGGCTAGGCGGGCCAGGCCCTCCCGCAGCTCGCTCAGCTCGAACAGTCTGACGTCCAGCAGCTGTGCGGCCCGGCCCACCTCAGCCCTTGCCCGTTCCCGCTCAGCCCGAGCCTCCTCCAGGCTGCGCTCTGTCACCCGCAGCTGGTGCTCCAACTCCACGTTGCGGGTTTCCAGGTCCTGCAGGGAGAGGGTGGGCAGGGTTACCAGCCCTGACGGGGGCATGTTTCTGAGTGCCATCTCCACAGTTCCCACTGTGGGCCAAGTCCCCCTCTGTCTCTTGATCTCCTCCCTGCCACCTGTGCTGAAGACACTCCCTGCTCCCCCAGCCAATTTGAACACCACAGAACTGATCACGGCCCTTTATTGAAAGCCCTCCTGTGACCCATCAGGCTGGGGATGAAATCTACACATCCCCTTCCTCCTTTCTCATTCCAACTCAGCCTCACTGGCTTTGTGGTTCCTTAGATACACTGATACCCTCCCCGTCTCAGGGCCTTTGAGGACATGCCCCATGACTGTTTCTTGGATAAAGTTTTTAGCAAAAGCCAGGCTAGCCAGACCTGTGTTCAGATGCAGGCTGGGGAGGTGTGAGGACTTGATGCAGTCAAGAAAGCTCAGCAGGGATTCAAAAATTGCCAGTTGAGTAAATGGATCTAAAACGTTGTACCAAGAACAACCGTTTACAAGCCACTTCAGACCTTTCATGCATCTGCTCTTCCCAGTCCTTCACCTTAGGTAGATGTCTTCCTGACCCCACTTACAGATGGAGAAACAGGCCAAAGGGGACCAGCCAGGAAGGGAAGAGGCTAAATCTGTGTCACACCAGAAGCTGGCTGCCCAAGTGCAGTCACCCCATCTCCTGGCAACCACACACACCTGCACCTTCTGTTGCGTCTCCTCCCGATCCACTGCATCAGGGGCCTCGCGGGGCACACCGGCCTGGCTCTTGAGTGTCTGGATCTCCTAGTGGAGAAGAGTTCCCAGGGTGTTCTGGGGGTCCTGGCTCTCCCATGGGAGGTCAGGGAAGGTGAGGCCTGGGGACACACATACTCACATGCTCAGTGCTCACCTGGTCCTTGGTCTGCACTAAGGACTCCAGCTGTTCCAGCGCCTGGCCTGGCCCCTCTTTCTCACTGACTGGGGCCGGCTCTGTGGCTGCCTGGGCCTCCAGTTCAGCCACCTGGGTGGACAGAATGATCAGCACCTCTCTGGGGAATCAGCCTTCTGCTCAGTCCCGCCCCCTCTGCTCGGAGTTACCACCCCACCCCTGGCAGGGAAGACTTTAGGGTCTGACACCCCTTTGAGGTGGGCGCTAAATCAGACCCATTTTACAGAGCGTGAAACTAAGGCTCCGGGAAGTAACCTATAGATCACACAGCCAGTTGGTGAACCCAGGACAGACAGGACATGCTCAGGCAGGGGCTCCACAGTTGCCGGAGGCCCAGGGTCTCTGAGAGGGAAGGGCGCCCTCACCCGCTGCCGCAGCCGCTCAGCCTCTGCGCGCTGTGCCTCGAGCTG